TAGAACGCTGTAGTTAGGCATCAGCGGCAGGGATTCTTTCAACTCATTTCCAGCGCTCGTCAGTCTATGCAGTACTCCAATGGAAGACGTGCCCCGCGAGTACAGAAACACCGGTCTGTTTTTTTTTTTTTTGACAGTTGAAACTCTCGTGAGATTTACGATGCTTCAAGACGGCTTTACTTGCTGTCGTAGAAAGGGCTCCTGTACTACTACCTTTAAATATTTTACCACAGCCTTCATATAAAAGCAGTGTTCGTTTACACTTTTTGTGTCCGCGCTGCAACGCTTTCGTGCGGATCAGATATATTTACCTTCTGCGAGTGTGGCTGTTTAGACCAGTGAGTGTAGAACCACCGGGAGATTCGAAACTATCCATCACACACACACAAAAACTTTTGTTCATTTATTGTTTAATAGCAATTCGTCTCTCGTGCCACAGGGATGGGAGATTTTTTCATACACTTATAGATGAGTCGGCATAGAAACCCTCCGGTATTGAAAAAATCCGTCAAGCATTCACTTAATATGACTCTCTCTTCTCAGTTGATCTATTGGTTCTCCCTGACACCCATTAGAAAGCTTTCTACACCTAACGTGGTTCCGCACTGCCTCCGATATCGGGTGCACGTCACCTGGTTTTGCATTGCCTCCCTGATTGGACGACGTTTGAACAAAGTACGATATAATGGGATGATGTCATCATGTCATACGTCACGTGACGTCATGGTAACGCAATAATTACGTAACTGGAATGGCAATCAGTGACGTCATGCTTAAATGGTGACGTCATTTCATGGTTATTTTTTTCATCACTTGTCCCCGATGTCACTGGACGCGACGAGCAAGCTTTGATTGATTGATTGGTTGATTGATATGTGGTGTTTAACGTCCCAAAACCACAATATGAATATGAGAGACGCCGTAGTGGGCGGCTCTGCAAATTTAGACCACCTGGGGTTCTTTATCGTGCACCGAAATCTGAGCATATGGGTTTACAACAATTCCGATGCTTTTATCAAGTCTAGGTGGTGTTGGCTGGTCATTTTAATATGCTCCTTTCGTCATGTTTTTTTTCTTAAAATAGCAATATTGCAGACTACGGCCGTTTTTGCTTAGTATTGTTCAGGGTTCCAGTGCCTAAACATCTCACGAGTGCCTATGTCATCATCGTTATCAGGGTCATCGTCACTGTCATGACGTATAGTGGGTACCTTGAATGTGCTGTACCGTGATGGCAGAAGGAGTATGAATGGTCTGGAACGCGCTTGTTCTTCATAGTCATTAACATCATGGTCGCGCCGCCGCAGTGGTCTTGTGGCTAAGGTACTCGGCTGCTGATTCGCAGGTCGCGGGTTCAAATCTCGGCTGCGGCGGCTGCTTTTCCGATGGAAGCGGAAATGTTGTAGGCCCGTGTGCTCAGATTTGGGTGCACGTTAAAGAACCCCAGGTGATCGCAATTTCCGGAGCCCTCCACTATGGCGTCTCTCATAATCATATAGTGGTTTTGGGACGTTAAACCCCACATATCAAACAAATCATCAATCATCAATCAATTAACATCATCGTCTGCGGCAGCTGCAGCGCACAACGCGAACGCCGTCAACGGACAAAAATGAGCGATATATTCTTGCATGAAGTTATCAGTCTTTCCGGCATAACTCACGACGTCAGCAGTATAATAATGTGACGTCATGAGGAGATGAGCTCTTGATTGATCTGTCTACAAGTGAAATTAGTCGAGAATGGCCTTCTGCACTGCTTTACCATCCGGTCGCACTTTCGTATTGACTTGTATTTGAAGACAGGTTTCACTTTATCTTGTGAGTTTTCGACTCGGAAAACGTAGATACATGCTGTAGCTGAAAACCTCGAAATTCTGATTGGTCTAACGCTTAGTGCTCTCTCACATAGTCCCTGTGTTTTATGAAGCAATCTGTCGTCCGCGAAAGAGGTGGACGACAAGCTTCCTGTTCATCAGTGTTGTATCCGTTCCAAAAAAAAAGGTTACTAAATACGTTACTTGTTAGTCCGACAAAAAAAAATGTGTTACCACCCTGCGTTATACCTATAACAAAAGGTAATGCCTTAGAGTTACCGAAAATAAGTAACAAGTGTTGCCTCCACTCTTACAGCACAATCTTAAATTTCAATCAAAGTGTCTTTGCTACAGGAATTCACAATAGGAATTTGTGATATCTCTAACTTATGTGTCACGTAGAACTTCTAACCTAAAACAAGGATTATAATAAATGTGCTTAATTTATATTATTTATATTCAGTGTGCTACTTGTACAAATGTACCGGACCTTAGCAACGCTATGGTGGCTTAGAGTTGCTTGTGGGATTACATGTGATGGCTTGTGACTCAGTGGCACATGGTGAAGCCCTTTTTCTACATGCGAAATTATACAAAATATCAAATTCAATCATACATGCTAGCCACAAAGAAAGCATCGATAAATTCGCAAGAAAGTTGCTGTAATCGGATTTTTTCCAGGTCTGAACAGCCCCTTAAGTTGAGATCGTCGAAATCGAAAGTGGTGGTTTTTGGCCTCTGAAATTTCACGCCACACGCCAGTAGGACTGCACTGGTGCTTTTTTTTTTAAATTTGCACGTTTGCGACACCAGACGTCCATTGATCCACTCCTGCTCTTCTGTCTTACTCCTTTCATCTTGTTTGTATACCACCTAAATTCATGGCGTGTACCTCATTGATGCCGACACGCATGCGCGAATGACCTACGCCGAAAAGGCCCATTCTGAAAGCTCGCGAAAGAACTGCTTCTTGGCCTTGTCACCCGAAAAATATTCGGGCATAAAAAAATGCTTGTTCACTTTCGCTTGTATAATCACCGCAAAACTTCGCGAGCGGTTATGTGCACGAGTTCAAGATCAGCCTCACTGGCTCAGGAGATCAGTAACCAAAAACGCAGCTGTCGTAACAGAAAAAAAGAAGCAAAGGTTGATTTAAACCAAAGTTTATAATTCTTATCAATATTGTAGCAACTATTTTGCAGCAAGTACAATGAAACGTCTCATATTTACACATTTCTTCAAAAATAGTTTTCTTCGCTCTACAACTTTGAAACAATGTTCCTTTACTCTGTGTTGGACGTGGCATTCGCACACAAGATGTCTTCCTTGTAGCGGTAACATTTCTTTGTTGGATGATTATGAACTTTAGAGAACTACAGGTCATGAAATTAGTTACTTCGTGTTAAATATGTTCCATAATTTTTGCCTCGTAAATTATGCAGTTAAAAAAACCGAGACTATTTTCGGGCTACTGTGTTCTATAGCGTAAATATGCAATCGAATCTAAAATATTCTTTTGTGGATTCACGTGTATCTCTCGTGGAATAACCCGCTTGCGACAGTAGCATGGCCAGGAGCGGGGGCACACCGAGCCCGTACCCCCCTCCCTTGAAATGTTTTTCGTCATGACGTACATATATAGCGCTAAATGACCATTTGCCTCCCCCTCCCCCTCTTGAGCCTATAAATGTGCCCCCTCACCCCCCCCGCAAAAAAATTTCTGCCGAAGTCCCTAGTTTGCGATAATCACGATTAAGAGATTAAGTGTGGTTATGCCTGCCATGTAACTGCCTGTAACTGTGGTTATACCCATACTGTTGGTGTGACAGCGGTATTCATGGGTAGCGAAAACTGAGCCAACCAAGGGAGCGAGAAAAAAATAAAAACCTTTTTTTTTCTTCACAAGAAAATTTGGACGTTTAGCGTCTCCATGAAATTTTTTTTAAAGATTTCTTCCTGCCTTGGGGTCGAACTTACTGTCATGATGCGCAGAATTTTGTTTAGGCAGGCTCTTCATCGGCAGTGCACTTGTAGGCCGGATAAGTTACCGGATGTATCCTTGATGGGCCAGATTTCGACAAAAATCCGCTTATAAATCGGACTATAAGTCTATGATGCCGAACTTGTCCAATTTCATGCGGTGGTTGTTCACCCCGCTGTGCTCAACTAGTGCACTCCTTTGACACTCGAACTTGCAGACAACGGTTTTACGTTGCTGCAGAATCTCGAAAAAGTTCTTTACTTCTCCCACGTACGAAGCGCGACAATCACCACGTGGTATAGAATAAACCAGCCTATGCACTTTCTGTCGAGCAGCCTGTATTCTGGGCCCGGAAAGGCGCTGGGGCCAGCAACACGCCTCCTACAATCCACTTCCACGAAAAGCGTGTTTCCACAGTTTGTCGTGGCAGATTCTGCGGCTTTCTTCAAGCTTTGTGTGGCGATGGGCCAAAACTCTCCACATAGAGTTGGCGCGTTTGAGGAATTCATATCCGCAGTTTGCACAAAATAAAAGCTATTCCACGCCAGCTTTTTTTGTCGAAGCATGCAGGCGGATAGCTATCCGACGCTGCGACAAAACAATTCATCGGAGTGAGCTCTGGGAAAATGGCACCTACAAACTGAAAACGTAACGAGTAACGTGACACCTCACATTGCTGAAAAATTGTAACGTCAGTATTCGTTACCAGTTACAGTTACGAAATCATAAAGAATACATTATGAAGTTATCGAAAAAAGCAAGGTGTTACCGGAAACGGCATTACTTGTAATGCGTTACCACCAATACTGCTTTTCATAAGCCTTTTCCACACATTGCGGGATTCTGCAAACGCAATTGCCATATTGACAAAATCGGGCAACCGTGCATTCCAGTCATGTTTTCTTATTCCTGAACCTGAATTATAATTTTCAAATGTATACATAATGTTCCGCGACATCAGGTGCAATGCAGGCTTTCCCATTGCATGCCTCAATCTAAAGACAACTATCAGGTCAAATGGTCTGTAATTGAGACGAGAACAAGAGTGGGAAGGGACGCTTTGCACGCGCAGGCCATCTTGATGTGGGGGGGGGGGGGGGTGCAATATTTTTTGATGGTTCGTTAGCCCCGTAGGGCTCATTCGCATGATATTATTCCTTGTGGATAATTTTTGGCTTCCTGACGAATGTCTGCGTTTTGCAGGGCAGCCATTCTGGACACGATCAGCCGGCAGCGATCACGCTTCGACACCATGTATGCGGAGGTCCGTGATCGCAGCCCCCAGGTGGATGGCGTGACACGCAAGCAGGAAGAGCGGTACACAATGCGCCACTACTTCGGCGGCAGCGAGCGCGATGGCCGTCCACGGGACTACGCACCCGACGGCGGGTTCCTTTGTCCGTCAGAAATCCTGTACGAGCGGCCGCGCCGAGCCCGCAACCACCTGGGTGTCTGGAAGGTGATCGTGAACATTGGCGAGTACCGCCAGACCATGCGCCTGGAGAAGTGCCTGTAAGAAGACCTTCATTACCAATGCATCGCCCATTTATTTGTTGCCTAGATGACAAAAACAATCTGTCTTCTCGCACCTGTCTCCTTTTGTGATTGGCGCTGTTTACGCGTGCCATACTGCTGAGCAGAGGCAAGGTTTTAGCTTCTTTCTGTCATTGCTGCCAAGCAACCGCAAGCAAAGAGAAAAACGAAGAAATCGCAGGAACCAGAGAAAAACTGCGAAACAAATTTCACTGTCGGAGTCTCCATTTATTATTTCTTTACTCTTCTTCTTTGCTGCGATCTTGCATGTTATTCAAGACATATGAGTCTGTCCAATTTACCCCGGCCATACGCAACCGCTGATCCGTGGATTCACTTTTCTGGTCAGTTCAGACCCCTTTAAAAGCAGAAATGTCACTTTACTGTGGTGCTTTCTTGAATATATTTCATATAAAAGCTTGTTTTTTTTCTTTGTGACAGGTGAATCTCGGCATGATAATCATTTCTCTGTTTTCTTCCATCGCTGTTTGGGTACTGTAGATGGAATGTTTTTCTCTAGCAGTTTGGGGCCTTCAAGTAATGTTTGCTTTTTATCGTGTACACCTAGTTAATTACAATTGATCTGCTCCCTGGGCTCCAAAACTTCACCGTGGGTGAGTCTTTCTTGCGGGATATTTTCCACCCCAGGAGGCCGAATCGGCCATGCTCGTACGTGCTGGAGAAATACCAGAGTTCCTGCAGCCAAGTATACAGCTACCAGCGGCTGCTCACCTTCGAGAAAGGCAAGGGGCTGCACATCGACATATTCCGCGTACCGTCAAGCTGCTCCTGCCACGTGAAGGGTTTCAGCCCATTCCAACGCCACGACGAGCCGGTCACACCGGTGCGCCAACAGCCACCGTTCGAATACGACCGAACCGCGTACACCAGCGCGACTAGCCTTGCAGCCGCCAAGGAGCCCGACAATGGCGGTGGGAGAGGGAACAACACGCTGTGGATAATATTGGGCAATGGAAAGGACCTCGATCCGGAAACCAAGGTGACGACCTTTAAACGCCCTCATCTTGTTCAAAGGCTGACAGGAAAGAGCGTCACTTAGATGCGCCAAAGTATGCGTCCGTTACAATGGCTGCAACTTTAATGAAAAAAGGAGGAAATACAAAATATCGATCAACAACAAGGAAGATTAACGCAAATTTACCAATGCACTGTAAATAGCGAGTGTTTGGGCTGGATCCTATCAGTGTCCGCATACTCGGAAAAAGCAAGAATACCAATGCATGGTAGCATAATGCTTGGCCTACTTCATGGATATTAAATGTGATATGTGTACCATTGATACGCCAGTGACCATGCGTAGAGAGGAAAAACGATTTTTAAAGCATAACTGAGTTATAATGTGGTTATGCCTTAATCACGAAAATTTAATTGCGCAAAATGGCTGTTCTGTTTGAAAGTGAACTTTTATTCTTCACATAGAGAAAAAGGACGCCCTTTCCTGTTTTCCTCTTTTTTTTTGCTTTCCGCTGTTACTATTTTTCACAGTATGAACCAACTAGCTAAAACACGTGTTGACAAGTTGCTTTCATCTCAGCTAGAATTCTGATATTGTAACCAATCGGGATCCATCGCTATGGGCTCCGTTTGTTTGGGTGCGTGCTTGCTGAGTGCTTCGACGTGTGTTCGAGTGGTGGTTACAGCAGCTGCATTGTTGCCGTTGGCGTGATGAAGAGCGTGAACTGAAGTAAGCAGACGGGTTGAGTCGTTTCTCGCGTTTGTGAGATAACGTGATCTGCCGGTTTAAACAGGTGGGGTACTGAGGATAATAGCGGGAACATCCACACAAAGCGACCGTCTCTTTCCACCTTTGGAAGCACGCAAACTGACTTGCATAAATGACAATCATGTCTCTTCAGATTATCAATGGCTGCGGCATTCATTTGTTCACATCGTGAACCTCACAACGTCATTGCGCAACAATGTCAAGTATCTTGCTGCATGTCATGAGCCCAAGTTTCAACAACATGGCAGCCATGCAGTTCTTCTCAGTGCGTGGTTGATGATTTTACACGCGTCTGTTCGTCTGCTCAGCGCACTTTTTACTAGGACGTTGAAAGCAAAATGTCCACAAGTAGAACACCAACGCCGCTGACGATGTCTATACTTCCTACATTAACTTCGGCATTTACCTCGGCCGTAAGAAGCTCGGCGCTAGTGGTCTGAGTGTCATACCTTTGCTGCACGATGAGAGCACGGCGTGCGACAACCATATGCATGGAAGATGCACCAACAGAAGCTGTATCCACACATGTTGATCCTCTTGTGGAGGCGTTTATTGAAAACATCACACTTTAGAAAATTCCATGGAGCGTTCACAGGTTATGTGCTCTACATGGTGTCCCAGCTATTACGGACTAAAAAAACAAAAACGAAAAAGTGGTAAAGAAACGATGTTTTGAATGTTAGTGGTAGTGGTGTGTTAATACAACCTGCACTTTTTTCATTACTTAGCACGAATTGTTTATTCACTTTAATTATCATATATTCTATGATACCCTACCCTTTACTTCTCAGTGGTGTATATTTTCGGATTCCACGTAAGTTAACCGGAAAGATTGGACCATTCCACAACCTATTGCGACCCTCTACTGTTCACAGAATACAAAATCTACATAATGTAACTTTCAAGATCTTGACGTTTTTCACAGTTTACTATCATTGTTTTTATCTCAGCTCTGTAATGCCTTATCATAATTTTTCAGCATGTGCAGATTCTTCCCTTTTCCGTCATTCAAGAAGCTTTCTACATAGTTGTGTATATTCCCCTTTATTTTTCACTCCGATTCGATGATTCTCGTCTGATCTTTTTATTCATTCAGCATTTTCGCCTCAATCGCGAATCCGGCCACGCAGTGGGGATTCGAACCCGCGACCTGTGAGTCAGCAGCCGAGTAGCTTAGCCACTAGACCACGGCAGCGGGGCCATTTTCGAAGAACGTGAAAATGCTTAACGCCCGTGTACTCAGAATTCGGTGCACGTTAAAGAACCCAGACTCATCGCGATTGCCGGAGCCTTCTTCTACGGCGTCTGTCGTAGTCATATTGTGGTTTTTGGATATTAGACCACCATAGCTACTATACTATAAGTTATAGTGCCTTAATCTTCGTTAGTACAGCAAGTCCGAAAACGACACTCGACACCCTCAAGTGTCGAGTGTCGCACAAGTGCCACGAAAGCAGTCTCAAATGCGATATTCAATGCAAGGTCAATCGCGATGTATAATGTAATGAGTGGTAGAGCGCTACCCTTAATAACAGAAAAGTTGATCACTGTTTCCTCTGAGTGAATCGAACACGTGAGTCCGAGCCCTGACACAAATATTCAGTGCGGATGCTTTAAAATAAAAAATTGAAATGAGTTTCGCGTCTCCTAGTCGTGTTTTCAAAACTGCAGTCACCATGATAGAATCTTTTGAAGGTATGCACTATAGGTGCCTGTAACCGTAATTACAAGCCCTAATGTCTTGACTTCGGATAACGAAAGCTTGAAAGTACGGGCGCATTACTTCTGAATAACCACAACGAGGCACTGACTGATATAAGCAATGAGTGCCAACAAAAGTATATACTTTGAAATCGATAGCGATTACATGGGTACCTGTATGGGGAGTGCACATACTTCATGCGACAGCAGATTCTTTAATATATACTTTTAACAGGTGTATTTTTTTTTCAGATTGTACGTCTGTAAATGTGTTGAATAAGCAAGATAAGCGAGATTGAGAGTTTTTGACATTCTTATAATCTACATCTAAAATTGTTGTAGCAGATAAATATGTACGTCACGAAACGAACAGTCTTGGAAACAGCCCCACAGCATTTTACAATACGCACACTCGCAAAATGAGCGCTTTGATTAAGGCGTAGGTCGGACATGTAAGTTGTGAGTTGAAAAATCTGGCGTGCAGAGTTGACATCACGAACTCTATATAAAAATAAGTTCACATGACCTCATATACCACCAGAATGTTTGACATTATCATTACGTCATTAACTCTGACAGACATGACGTCATCTGAAGAGATCTTAGCATGACATCGTCACTTTGTCAAAGGTGGGCCGATCTCGAAAATTGTCTGATTCCAGAAAACGTGCAGAAAGCTGGGGCAGGGAGACGAAGGAGGAACTATGCAATATACTGTGATCGTTGAAGTAACCTAATGTACGCTATAAAGGTCGCTGCGCATACAGATTGGGACAAAAAGAAAAAAAGCGTGTGTTCGCTATAACTTTTGTAAAAAGAAATGCCATTTAAACTATGACGCTATCGCAGCGAAATTCAAGAGTGTTTTGTGAGAGCTTATGGTTTCGCTTGTGCTCTCCTCAGCGTAAGCTTAAGGGTCTGTAACCTTTTAGTAATCAACAGTAGTAGTAGTAATAGACTTATGTTTCAGCCAAGACTAAAGGCGGAACTTTTCGGCCGCCAATGTAAGGTGCATGCGCAAAAATATGTAACGAAATTCTGCAGAGGTAAGGAATCTCCTAGAGAGATCGTGCATATTGTAAATGAAAACAAAACAAAGCAAAACAGAAGTAAAAAACAAGAAAATGTAGTGACTTCAACAACAGCCTCTACACTAGTTGCCAACTAAGTGCAGATATATGAACAAGGCTGCATGACAGAAAATAAAAATAAGTTACTTAATTTTAATCACGCTTTTCTCTTTTTAAAGTCCTTTACAAATGAACCTGCGTTTAGAAGGCAAGTACAACCTGTATGTAAATGCATTCCTCCTCATGCCCGCGTTCGGCAGGCTCGACTCTTGCAGCAGCTGAGGCAGTACCCACAACTTGCCGAGCAGTTGTCGCAAGGCGAGAATGTGCGCGAGCTGGGGAACGAGGCGGACGAATACCAGAGGCCATACACGAGGACCGAGCCGACAAGGACGCCCGGCTACGGCGTCCACCACTACGGCAGCACGCACAAGACACGAGAAGAGAGGCCACAGTTGCTGAACGCCGCGCCACCTCGGTGGTCGCAAAGCACCGTTGCGAACGAGCCCTTCAAGTACGTGCAGCCTAACCGCATCAGGAGGCCTCCGCCACAGCCACAGATGCCCACCGACTATGAAGCAGATGACGCCCTCCCACCTGGCGCCAGGCCGCGCTACTATCAGAAGCCATTTAAGGCGTCTGAGGAGGACACTCTTTTTACGAGGTGAGGGTGCCGCCATGGACAATCACTGGGACGTCAATTTTTACACTATTTACCCCTCAGTGCAGCACTCAATTTCATTGATAACACGTTTTGACCAATCATGCGGTTTACTACGAAGTCTTCCCCTCTGCCGTTACTGTCGACATTATGCTTACACCTCCGAGGAAGCAGCACAAAGGAGCCGGCTGCACGTAGCGGGCGTAGACAAACAATCTCTTCATCGATGTAGGGGATCCAGCGCCTATCATTGCCATGACCTCTCTTTGTCCGAAGCATGATGCGAAAAAAGCATGAACCAACCGAAATGACGACGCAGTAAGCCTATACAGACTCTAGCTGTTACATGGAAGGCGCTTTCTCGCGAGCTTCTAAGATCAACGCTGTGAGCAGTACGATTGGTCATTCTTTGCGGTGTTTCGTGAGATTAAAAACGTTGCGCGTAGTTGACTCCGATACCAAATGAATGCGCTTTAACAAGAACAAGAAAAGCATACGACCATAAGCACCACACGCGATGCCCCCCCCCCCCCAACTCCCAAAAAGAATAGCGCGATATTGTTAGATAGAAGTGCTCATGCTCATTGTGCACGGCAATAAATTGAATGGTGACAGGTAACTGCGTAGATATATGAACTGTTAGCTTACTCAATGAAGCAATTACTGCGTTTTCCTGATGCGCGAAAATAGTTTAACGGTGACACTAGAGCCAAAACTACAAATTGTTTCGTTTGTAGGTCATATTTCCCCTTGGCCTCTGCTAATCGGCTTCAGCCAGCATTAGCATTGGTTGAAACATTTCGTTACGAATAATTGTCGCGTAAGGGATTTTAGTGAACACGGGCCTTGTACTCCTGTGATGCGAATAATTCAAAGATGTTCATTGCTTTATAGTCTGATTAACCATACCCTATTCCTTCTATTACAAATTAGAGGGTCTCTTGAACGTCGCAATATTTATGAGCTCTAGCATAATTTTGTAGATACACCATAAGCGTGAGAAGAAGCCATAGATTCCCACCGTCGACTTACCTAAATACAACATTATGCACCTACCACCACATCGAAACATGAGAAAATAGCTGCATGCATGAGCAGATTGCCATCGCATCAAACCAGTCTTCTCTATAGATACTTCTTAGCGCGTTGTGTAAGGACGGTACTAAGGGACAATGCGAACTGCAATATATTATTTCGAACTTTAATGTACTTTTAGCCCAATCAGTTCCTAAAATCTAACAATTTCGGCTTGCACAGATCAAGAGTTTAGCCGACGATAAAAGGAGATAAGGACGCTAGCCAGAAAATTAGCCAACTTCGCGCTAAAATCCCAACCATGAACACACAGAAGCAGCAAACGTAGCCAGGACGGGTGATCCTTCTTGTTTTTTTTTTTGTTCTTGTTGACCTTCTGCTGTGGCTCAAACCCACTGTGGGGAATTGGACAATAATTCAGTGGTCTTATAGAATCTTACTCAATTTTAGAGTGGAGGAAGTTATAAAATGAAAACTTTACGAACTTTAGAACGAAATTTTGATGCTCACTGAAATATAACTACTATGATGCCTTTGTATTAGTAAAAGATAATAACCTAGATCATAACTCAACTTAAAAAAAGAAAAGTTATGTGTATGTCAACAAAGAATAATAGTAATATAGATTAGTTGGTTAGTCTTTAGGTATCATTCTGGTAATTCCGCATTGCCACGCAAACTTTCACATTGGCAAACTCAGAAATAGAGGCTCCAAAAGACAGAATCATGGGCATGGATAAAATTATTCCATTAGCACGTAAAGGACTTTCTAACTATGATCTACGAGCTATAGTAAATTGCCTACGGGTAAAAAAAATGATCCATAGTTTCTAGCTCGCCACAGAAAGCGCACAATAATAAAGAGCCTGACCAGGCCTGTGTTGGTGAAAATTTAGTTTCGGCCACTTACAGCGCAGTTTCGTAATGGCGACTTCTAGTTTACACGTGTCACAAAACGATTGGTGCCAGGGATATAATAAGTGCTTATATCCAGTGGAATTTGTGAGTGATGTACCTGCAAAACTTGCCATACTGATACGCCTCTGAAATCGTGCAGCCGTTATTCGTCCTGTCTATGTGTTTCCTTCTTCTGTGTAGTTGTGATTTTGGCCCGAAGTTGACTATTTATTTCAGACATGTACCAAATAGCCCAACATTGAGTTCTACTAGGCAGAAAATGTTTAGGTTATATACTGCCAATTCACAGGATCTTGTGCCACATATACGTGACTCGTCTATAGTAGTACTTTAGTTTCAATATTTCATAATGTTCTATAAGGAATATTTCGGGGCAAAGAATGTGCAGAATGGCCCTTTTGTCAAGTATTCGGCGTCTATGAGGAACGATATTGTCTATGAAAGGCAGCTGTTACTACGACTATATACAACGACGCATTTCTCTGAAGTCACGAGCCCAAGACTGCCATGCAGCCGCAGAACAGTCAAACGCTGCCCGTGTCACTTGGCAAACTGTTCAGGTGAACCACATGAGTGCTTTGAATTTGTCAACAAACGGTTTTACGTGTGATGCGGAAATGTTATATCGCATTACACGTAATTAGGCACGCATTACAGGAGATTTAAGATATTTTACCAATCAGTTATCTTAACGCTTCAGTTTTTTCTTAAAAGCACTCGAATGTTTCTAAACTAAGTAAGTCTCTTGAAGGAGCGTAATAATGAGCCGTAAGAGATATGGTGTTTTATATTATGAAAATATTTCCTAATAAAAAAGTAGGGCGCGAGAGATAATTCATTTTATCATGATTGGTAGTACTTGGATATCACTTCTCGCATATGTTGCTGATAAAGATCCAGAAATGGGTTTATATAAGTTGATTATTTCAAGATTGGTTCTATCAAGCATCCACACTGCGTGATAGCGTTGCCTAATGCAACTAGAGCCTCACGATAGCTTATTTTTTAGGTAATGTTCTGCTGCTTCAGTATTAGTGCGACAAACTTAATATTATTAGCACCTGCTCTGCTAGGAATTGTCTTTAAAACCAGGTAAATGTAGCGTTTTCAGCATGCAAGGTAATTTTCATTGCAGCAGATTACCAATTAGGTTCTTTAAAAGGTAGTTCAAGTGTTGAGACACGCATCGCAAAAGATTAGGTGTATGCTTATACTTCAGTCAGAAGTAGCATGGCATGTGACTTTGAGGACACTCACTGAAATTACATTTATCTTGTACTTTTATATTAGCAGCGTGTTTTTTTTAATTTACTTCCATTTTAAAGGCTCTTTTTTCACGCATATTTCAAAACTCACTCTCAACAATCTTCAATTTAAACTTTTTTGTCTATTTAACAAAATGCACTGTCAAAGACGACTTCTAATATCACTATGTATCTTTTTTTCCTACACCTTTGCATATTTCAATCCATCTACCTTATTTTAACTCTTTGTAAAATGAAGTAACCAGACAACTTTGAACAAAGACTAATCATTTCACCCTCATCTTTTTGAACGTCACCGAGACCCACCAAAGTGTACTAATCAGTCCTTTTAGCTGTGACCTCTGGGCAAGTAGAACCACATTGCAACCTACGATGCACACTTTAAGATGACAAAAAAAATGCTTTTCGTGAATTGAAATGAGTAGCATAGTTGCGAAAAGATTGACTCCACTGTCCAAGCGTGAATTGTTGCACTTTGTCCTAGCAATATAAATGGTGAATAAAATAAAGAGGGGGAGGTCTTACAAACTAAAGCCTTAGTATATGTCCACAGTTTGATTCCTTGGAATCATTAAGCTTTATCTTTTCATCAATTAGCAAACAATACTTATTAAGCTTGTATTGAACTGCTGCCAGTTGAAAGAGTTCGGTGCCTACGTAGTGCACCTTAGTTTTTTTTTGTTATTCTTCAGGACCCAGTGACATATTTTCCACCCTGTTAGCAAAAATGGCAAGCAGACCTAACGAGGATTCGCCTTGCAGACCTTTGACTCCACCAGAAAGATCTTTCTGCAGCACACTGAAAGAATACTGGAAAAGACAAATACGACAGCTGATTGTTTTCTTCGTTGCGCTTCGAAAAGAACTCACAAAAATGCTAGCCCTTTTGTCACTCTGCACATGACGAAAGCACAATATTTTTCTTAGCTCCGAGACGTTTCAGGATATACGTCGTTCACCACAACAACAACGTCGATTGCTCGTGTGGAAGGGTCACGCTGAAAATTCTAACCACTAATACAACTTAGCACAATGTTTCCGACCCTTTCTTTAGTTCAGCCAGTTTCCAGTAACTCCTCACTGACCTGATTGACTGGTTTCCTGTCTTCCCTTTTCTCCTGGCACGCTCTGCTCTTCCTCTAACACCGACCTTCAACCCCGAAGAAGCAGCGGAGGCACGACGTTCGTCGTGCTCAGGCAGATTGAGCCGCTGTCACGCAGGTACCACGAGCCGGCGCGAGAGCGGCACCCGCACGTTGGCCAGGCGTCGCAGGGCTCGGCGGACGTGCGGCTGGCCCACGGGCCGACCGCGGCACCACGTGGTGACGTGCTGCTCGTGGAGCCCGTGCGCCAGAGGCCATACGGCAAGCGCTTCCAAGTCGTCACCACCACTGAGCCATCTACGACCAGAGACGTGGCGAAGAAGATAAACTACTCCTATCACCCCATCATCGACTACATCACCAGATAGCCGCAGTGCGAACAATCTTTTCCATCTATTTTGATGTCATGCTTGCCCCCTTTGTTTATCTGTGTTTGCTCACATGAATGCAGCTTATCGATGCGGTAACTGTAGTCAAGGTGCACGCCCTCGGAAGCGACGAAGAAGCAAAGCATGGACCCGATGCACGTTGCTTGAAGACCACCTCTTTCATACTGCCTGACGCCCCGGTGTTTACCTTATGTCAAGCTCACGTTGATGCACGGGCGATGGAGTGACCAGTAGATTTGATAAGACTGAAAATCTGAAAAAAAACTAACTCTTGTGGAACGGTCAAACAATGACTCCACCACGTGCGTAATGAAAAACTGGGCACAATAAGAACTGTGAACTACGCAACTAATTATTGCACAAAGGCGTCTTTTTGTTACATGTGTCACCACCTTTGGTTGCGCCAAGGTTTCTGTAAAATTCGTCAGTTCAAGTTTAACGGGAGGTTCTACCAGTAATGGCGTCTTCCGTCTAGTTCATTCGTATGTTTGCCTATTGTAACTTCAGCAAACGTGTGGGTTCCAAGGAAGAAAAAAAAAAGAGAGAATAAAGTATGGGGAGATCGACGCTGTTAACCTGGAACCTCTCGACATTGCTGAGCACTTGATTATGCAATAGAAGCCACTGTTTGCGTATTCAAGATTGTTTCGGAGAAGGCTACTCGACTAACTGAAAAGGTTGTCAATGCTTGGGCCGACCAATGTTCAAACGCCTTCCTGAAGATGAGCTCGATAGAACACACATCTCGCTGCACTTAATTTGATTGTAAAACATTCCTAAATTCAAGCCTTTTCATGCAGCGAAATTCCTGGGCAATAAGTAAGACGGTACTTGCCTCTTGAAACTACGCTTCGAACAGCTGCAGGCTAGTAGTGCTTATTTTCACCAAACATTAGAAGTGCAATTACTTTACTTTCTGTGTGACGTGAAAACTCTTTGTCTATGTAAGCTACATCCTTCAGAGCCTGTTTGGGGCAGATTGCATTGTGCTTTTTGTTCGCAAGTGCGCTTTTTCTTGGCCGGTCATCTTCACTAATGATATGTGCTATATTATGAATTACTGAAACCGAAGACATCTAGCACCATGGGTTTTGGATAATACAGGCTTTGGTTGCGTTGGTTGTGGAGAGGTTTTGTGCACGTGCGGTTAGATTTTCTTGAGTCCAATATATTTACGTTCAGCCAACGAGTCACGGTACTTCCGCTAATTGGAGGTTCAGATGTCCCTGTACGCCTCGTTTTATTATCTGTTCTAGACTTGAGTAAAAAAAGGGCCCAATTCACGAAGGGTGGACTGTACGCGCTCATTATCAATGAATAGCAGGCTTCACTGATGTTAAGCCTAGCTTTATGACTTGCCGAATTTTTCTTCCTGATTAATTTCACCGTAATGGTATTTCTGAATATGGGCAATGAATTGAAAGTCGCATAGCCTTTTGTTAGGCATTGCCTTTTGTGGCTGGCAGGTAGTGTCTAATCTTATGACCCTGCGACATAATTGGCTCACGTTTGCTTCTATAACCAATGACCATGTAAGCAGTTTTCTTTTGTTTTTTTTGTGTATATGTGTGTGTTTGCGTGAACACCTCCGAAGTGCTTTCATTTAAATGCACCGCAAACCTACAAAAGTGTTTGAAGCATTATTTTATGTCATCCAGGGGTTTTCCCTCTCAGTATGTGTCAACAACCTGACGCGTCTTTGTACTAGAAGCAGGGGACTTCTTTTTTAAAAGAGAAATGTAATTGCTCGGCAGAAAAGTGCACGTGGAATTCTCGTGAGCGAAACAAAGATGGCGATAAGTTATAAAGTATAAAGCAGCAGGTCGTGTTACTGTTATGTATGTTTGTAAAAAAAAGAAGCCTACTTTTTTTAAATACTGCTCGTATTGCACGATACACACAAAACCAAAGCTTATACTAACCACTCAGTGTTCGCAATCCCTTAGTACATGGCATTGATGAATTATCAACCATTTCGGAGCGGTTAGCAGCAACTATAAACGAGAATTAAAGTTGCCAAGTTCATCAAGAAGGCTTAATTTTTATGTGATTCACTGAAATTCAGAAAAAATGGGATGCTCCACTTTTCACTGAGCCATTTCAAAGGCGCTGCTTTCACTCCGAAGCCCTTTTTTTTACTTCTTCCTTCGTTTTTTTTCCCTCTTTCTCGTGTGTGTTGTGCTGTGTGAATAGTTGTGCTGTGTGCCTTTCTGTACAGTAGTTCCTGGTTCGCCACTACTGCCATCGTGCTTGCTTCATCGCAAGCTCACGTTTGCACATTATTTATTGTTGTACCATAGGCGCTCTGTCCTTATTTCATGTGATCGTGTCGCTAATCGCAAGAATGTAGCAGGCATTGTTGTATTTCATTTTTAAACCTGTTGACATACACAATGAAGAATTTGTATATGCTGTTGCTAATAAAAAAATGCTCAGCGTATGCGCAAGAACGGGGTTGTCAGGGCTCATTGTGCTGCCGTGATGGTGCCTGTCATATTTCATGGCAATATCGTAATAGACTTCCGGGTCTATACATGCACGTTTCCACGGTTGCTTCTTTCCAGTAGGTACGAAACGTCGAGAGCAGGCTTATGAATAACCGTCTATAGTGCTCGACGACCACGTTGGTGATGACGAGGGTGATGACAGTGCAACATGTGGTAACGCACACGATGATGAATCGGCAAAGTGCGTACAAGTGGTACATCTGTGGGGATTTTTGGTAATTTGACTTTCTTTTTCGTCTTTACTAAATGTGAAAAGAAATAATCCCCTACAAAACACCAGCCATGCAAAATGGACAAGAAAACAGCAAAATGAAGAAGAATATATAATTTATAAACAAAAGAAGCAGGGCAATTGCGTTAAGAACAGCAAAATAATACAGAAAAAAAGTGTATAACATTGCAGCAATAAGGTAACCTTGCGCAGAACGCGGAAACACGGAGTGCATTTGAAATACACCTAAGCTTGATCCACATGAAAAATTTATGAGTCACTATTAAACGTCTGTAATGCTTAAGGGAGAAGTTCCTATGTTTAGGGGGCATGGGCAGCGCATAAGAGCTGTTATAGATAAAATGCACAGAATTGAATTTCTAAAACGACAGTGAAAAATACTGCATGTGATGTTGCATGTACTTCCCTTCAATTAAATAGCAAAATGCGATACACGAAGGTTTGTGTGTGGCTGACGAATAGTACGTTTTCAATTTACAGAGTACAGGAGGCTGGCAGTAGGACATGCTAACGGTTCGTTTAATTCGTTCAGATGCCAGTGCTTTGTATGCATATTTAAAAATGGAAAACATTAACAAATCCCATGTACCTTGGGAATCGATGTCATGGTATACGAAGCATGCGGAGGGAAGGTAACTGGGCTGTAACGTTTTTATTGCGCGACACGTCATGAAATGATTCCAAATATATGTACAAATGTTGCACGCAGAGATATATGTTGAAGAATTGCAGATGTTTATATAACCAGTTGTTTGCACTTCCGCAATGACGCCGCTGGAACATGCGTATTGAAGCTGATATGAAGCGCTGATGGTCTCAAGGATGCTGGCCCTGTAGACTGCTACATAAATTAATTTCAGCACATGGCGCTTAATTTCGAATGACCTGAACATGACGTGACCGCTCTATTAAAAGTGTCCGTATGAAAGCTTTATAAAATCACATAGAAAGCTGCAACCACAACTAACGTTTCCCGAACATTAGGATCTACTTGAAAAGGTGTTCCGAGAACTGGCGTGGCTCTGTTGTAGAATGATTTATTGCGACGCCGAATGTTTGGGTTTGATTACCACTGTGACCCTGGCATTTATTCTTGGCATTCTTCGTGTCAATGCTGCCCATGTCAGGTTTTTCTTAACGCTTACTCGTTAAAATGGCCCACCTGTATTCTCGTCACCCCTGGGCAGATGCTAAGTGTCAATCACCTCTGGCACATGCCCGCACACCAGTGGCAAATAACCGCCCACGAATATGTGCCACTACCTTTCGGGAAGTATTAAATGCGAAGCATTCCTCAGCGAACTTCGGCGACTTTGAGCGTATCTATCTATCTATCTATCTATCTATCTATCTATCTATCTATCTATCTATCTATCTATCTATCTATCTATCTATCTATCTATTCTATCTATCTATCTATCTATCTATCTATCTATCTATCTATCTATCTATCTATCTATCTATCTATCTCTCTTTTTCTTTCTCTCTCTCTCTCTCCGCCAGCGGAGGAAGATTGGCCGATTGGCGGTCGCGAGAACTAGCGGCGCTGGAGTTTGATCTTGCGCTACTCTCGGAGCATCGTCGGCTACGGCGGCGTACCACGGCGGTTCGTGGCGCTGTTCCTCGCGCTGCCTTTCTTGTTGTACTGTTACTGAACTTAACCATTCATCATGCGCTTCCAGTCGTCATTCTCGCGTCGCATTTGTGGACTGTACAAGGCCTCTTTTATAGATTGGCCCGGATGTGTTGTTGAATGCAAGTTGGCTAAGAATCAATATCCTGACTATATTTACGCTGTCTGCATTCGGTTTAACCTCCAAGTACAGGAAATTCTACATGAATGAGCATTTTCAGCATAAACATTTTATGACGACCGCTAGCATTTTAACCACTGTCATCTGGCCTAGACGAAAAACGGCCCAAAACGCCTGTAAAAACTCAAACAAGTTGTCTTACTGAAATAGACAGATGCTTGATAAAAACAGCACTCATGTCTCCTACTAGTTACAAAAAATTAAATACTTTCTTCAAAAAACAGTACCCGTGCTTCACACTGTTTATCAGACAAGTCTTCGCGATGGCTATCAATGAAGAGTGCAGTGCAAATTGTTACCGTAACTTCAACTCCTTTCTCGCATTTTCCACCTTTTTAGAAAGCTCCTGATTGGTTTTCTTGTAAAATAGAAAAAAGACATATATTCATGAACATTACCCTCACGTTCACATGATGAGCGGTATAACTTAAAAGATGCAGTGGCAGCCACTCCAACTTTTCAAGCACAATTGAGAAAAGGTCCTCAACCTGGGGATTTCCTCGAAAAGCCTCTCAACAGTTTTCTCAATTGAGGTTTATTGAAAATATATACATAAATACATTTTTTTTGTATGGTGAATGAACAATCGGAAGTCCCAAAGTAATAATGGTCAGGGGAACCTCCGAACAAAAAGTAAAAGGAAGCAAAACACCACACATACATTTGTGTCTTGCTGCCTTTCGTCTTGCTGTTCTATTTCTGACGGCACCTCCAAACTGGGCACTGAGCATTCGAGGGGCGCCATGCGTTTAGGCGGGGGGGGGGGGGGGGAGGCCTTGGTTATGAACATTTTGGCTTGAATATATGGGCTGGAATCGCTGGGAACAATTGCGGATGGGTACCAGGTGCGAGATGCCACTTTCCATGTGAGATCAAGACTTATTTTCTTGCAAGACATTATGGTAATTGATTAATATGTGGGATTTAACATCCCAAAATCACCATATGATTATGAGAGACGCGGTAGTGGAGGGCTCCGGAAATTTCGACTACCTGGGATTCTTTAATGTGCACCCAAATCTGAGTAAACGAGCCTACAACATTTCCGCCTCCATCGGAAATGCAGCCGCCGCCGCCGGTATTTGATCTCATGACCTGCGGTTCAGGAGCCGAGTACCTTAGCCACTATACCACCGCGGCGGGGCAAGACATGATGGTAGTGCGTTATAATTCCGTCATTCTCACACTGAACATCTTAGACTTAGCGTTTGGCAGTGAGTTTTTTTATTTTCACGATGCAAAGCTTGGTACCATCTTCTGAATTGCGCCGAATTTTTTCGGAGGTTTGTCACGGTCAACATAATTGGTTTATACCCCAATGAAGACTAAATGAAGGAATACGATTGATTCACTTTACTACGCCTGATTTAAAAGTTCTGCTATAGTAACACGATTTTCAATTGTTTTGATCTTCTGCTCACTCTTCCGGGTTATTTTTGTTGGAGGCTAGAACTAACTTTCAGTGTGTGCTTTGATCATGCTCTTAAATTAAGTTGTAGGATAAACGACTGTCTCTTCATTTATATATATATATATATATATATATATATATATATATATATTTATATTTTTTATCCGTTTTCATATTATTTGAACGTGGTAGCTTAAACAAGCTTGTTTCATAGAAAGTCCGACGCTGGCATCGCTGTTAGCGTCTCTGGTTGTGAGTGAGAAGTCAGTATCTTTACATGACAAAGAAACAAAATCAAGAAACTTGCCTATAAAAAAAAGAAACTTCAGTACGAGTGAAGATAGATCCCAGCTTCTCTGCGAGGCAATCAGGTGTTGTACCAGAGAGGCACACCAATGGTCGAAAGTGATACGAAAAAAAAAAACAATATGAATTTCATGTAATAGAAGTTCTCATTTATATTGCGTCCAGCATAAAAAAAACCGAGGCCTTATGTGTAAACTTCTTTTGTTCATGTAGAAGAAGCGATTTCTTCAATCCACACAAATATAAGTGGTACAAGCGTAGAATCGCATCAGCCATCTAAACAAGTGAAAGACGCATCCAGTAGGTGTCAGAAAGGCCCAGCCATTACAGGGCGCTCACTACATGTTCGCGTGTTGCTTTACGCACGCGTAAAGGCCCGTTTGCCGATTCACAAAACGAAGAAATATGGCGCAGTGGGCACTTCGCAACTGTACTTGCAGTAGATACTCTAGAATACTTTGAAACAGCCAGTGTTGCGCGCACAGTCGTTCGATCCCTCAAGGCACGGTTGAGGCATACACTAGGTGCGAAGCTAGGCTAGTAATTGAGAAGGTGATTCGCACAGGGTCCGGTTACGTTATGGCAGTGTGCTCTTGAAGAAGAAGCTCAAGCTTCCTCCAAGTTTTGTAATTGTCGTGTTTGGGACTGTTGTGTATTTGTTGTCACACAATATACATAATACTCACCTCTGCCATATCCACCAATTGCTGCAGCATGTAATAATAATAATAATAATAATAATAATAATAATAATAATATTAATTTCTATTTGCACTACAATATGAATTCTCTCGGGTAACTTGCAAGGCTGGATAGCAAAATCGCTTACGATCGGTCATCTGATCACCGCTGGGCGAAAGAGATAGAAGGCCACATATATGAGGTTCTCGAGCTGCTTATAGCAGCTTTCATGTTGACCCGCGCCACTTAGTAACCGTGTTTACGCAGAAAATAGGTTAATGAATAAACAAACAAATGAATGAACAAGTTGCGTAAAGGGGAGTCGTCATTGCGCTCGCCGCTGTTGGAGCCTGGCGCAAAACTAGCCGGCGTATCTCAATGTAAATAAACCTGCTCCTTCTCGCTCATTTCATACATGACAAACGCGTTTTCGCACAAGAAACTACGCAGTGCCAAAGAACAGTTCGAGAAGTGACACATCATTCGCGGTAGCCAC